CATTTGCTTCTCCCTGTCCTCATTTTCAGGTGGCACGTCTGTTAGCAAAGTATGGTTTGGTCTGACTAAAGAGTTCTGCAAATTTGTCTTTTATTTTTTTCAGTTGAAACTTTCTTTAGACTCATGCACAATAGTATTATCTCAAGCATCTAATGTGTATTCACAAATGCATGGGAGGAATTGAGCATTTGGTAAGATTCAAGATTATTATATACTGTATATCTATAAAAAAAAAGTTCAAAATCTTTGCAGAGCACCTTAGCCCATGCGCAGACTGCTGTAGTTAAACCAACGACATCAAATGCCAGAAAGCATGTGTTACCCAAGTCTCCTCGTCCCACTGCAAACAGACCCGAAACGACGAATCAGATTCAGACGAATAATATTGTAAGCTCAAAACCTGTGCAAGAGACTGGTGGTGGTTATGATGCAAAATTGGTGGAAATGATAAATAGTGCTATAGTGGATAGAAGCCCTTCAGTTAAGTGGGAAGATGTAGGTGAGGAATTTATCACATACTCACTATTCTTGTCTATATATTTCTTTTTCTTTTATTTTTTGGTTGCTGTGTTTGGTAAGATTACCAAGTTACTCATTTCAGTTTCTCTGCAGCCGGTCTTGAGAAGGTTAAGAAAACATTGATGGAGATGGTTATTTTACCAACTAAGAGAAGAGACTTGTTCACTGGTCTTCGAAGGCCAGCTAGAGGTAATGCTTTGTAAGACTGTAACATCCATATTGATACCAGTGAAGCAGAAAAAGAACTTGTTTCATAAAAAACTCTGTGTTTGTCTTTCAGGTCTGCTTTTGTTCGGTCCACCTGGGAATGGGAAGACCATGCTTGCTAAGGCAGTTGCTTCAGAGTCTGAGGCAACATTTTTTAATGTATCTGCTTCTTCACTGACATCAAAATGGGTGTGTCTCTGTCCTTGGTGCTGCACTTTCTTTTTCTTATATTTCTAATTTTTTTTGGCCTTATAGGAATTATAATAAGTTTTACTTGCACTGAAATAGGTAGGAGAGGCTGAAAAGCTTGTGCGAACCCTTTTCTTGGTTGCTATATCCAGACAGCCATCAGTAATTTTCATGGATGAAGTATGCTACTTTTCCTGCAAACTATTAACTTTACGTTCGATTTCAAAAAGCACCAGCTTCACCTGTTTCATCTTATTGATGGTGTTATGAAGTATGCTATTTCATGCTTGTACTTGAGGACTGTATAGTTGATTTGGAAAACTGGATGAATGATCAGAGATTAGTTTGTGGTCGTTATCTCTATTTGCATTTGTTGTTGTTAAATGTCATTGTTACAGTTTTTTTTTTGGTATTAATTTCTTAGTCATCTGGAGGGTGTATAGCTGTTATAGGTGACTACAGTTTGATGCTTTTACTGTTCAACATTATATCAGCAATGTAATTGTGTCTGTTTTTTGTGTGCTTACAGATTGATAGTATCATGTCAACAAGGCTTGCAAATGAAAATGATGCAAGCAGAAGGTTGAAGTCAGAGTTTTTAATACAGTTTGATGGCGTGACCTCTAATCCTAATGATCTGGTAATTGTGATTGGTAAGCTTTATATTTCCTCTTCTTTTTTCTTTTTTTAATGAAAACTTTATATCTCAATTCAACCGAAGCCCACCCCAAAAGGGCCGTTACTTTTATTAAATTGCACGTCAGTGTTGACCCCAAAAGGGCCGTTACTTTTATTAAATTGCACGTCAGTGTTGATGAAAGTCTTGGCTACCCTGCCTGCTTCAACAATGCCAACTTGATATACATTACCCTTCTTCTATGTTATCATTAGAGTCTGCTGCCCCTAAGGGACCTTGATCAAGGGAAGTAATGTTAAATTTGGATGTTAATTAATTGGAACTAAGTAATAAACTTTCTTGATCCCCTCAAACAATAAAATTAAACAGGTTGGAAGGAGGGAGGGACCTAGTATACTTCTGAACTATTTTCTTTTGTCCCAACATAGATCCTCACTTTTCTTTTTCTTTTTTCTCATTATCTTCTTGAAGTCAGTTTTTGGGACTGTTTCAATTTTGCATTTTAACACACTTACACCTGAATAAATTATATTACATCCTTTGATATCTTTTTTTATGTGCTTGCAGGTGCTACTAATAAGCCACAAGAACTGGACGACGCGGTTCTTAGAAGACTGGTTAGTAGTTTTTTTTTTTTTTTTTTCTTTTGGTTTTCTCTTTCAATATTCTGAAATTTGATTTTTCTAGGACTTTAAAAAGTTTGAATTGCTAATAAAATCAATTCTCCAGGTTACTATCTTATGAATCAATACTTTAAAAAAAATGTGTACATGTCTCTGTGCTCGTGCATGCATGTCTAATGCTTATCCAGTATTTGAAGCATATTTATCTGATATTTATACCTGAAGATAGGGCTGTGTCCTAGGAAAATGTTTGGGCTTGTAGTGAACACTGTGTTTGGTTCATCTGTTACTTTAATAATGGTTGTGTCTCGATGTTTTCTGCTCGGAAAGATTTTAATCAAAGAAACAAAAAGTACATGGGGTACATATTGATCAATACATTCAGAAGTATCCTTCTCATCTTTTTCCCCGTTGGAAACTTTATAAATTGTTGATATCAATTCTTTTTACTTCTAATTGCCTTTTCTGGTAACAATTTGATCAATACATTCAGAAGTATCCTTCTCACTGTAATATGAAACCCTGAACCAGGTGAAGAGAGTGTACATACCTTTACCTGATTTAACAGCAAGGAGACTGCTTCTAAGACACAAACTCAAGGGCCAATCGTTTTCCTTACCAAGTAAGAATATGGTCTTATCTCGTAACCTTGTTGTTGGATATTTTTCTGTTAAAGATTGATGATCCCATATTTTGTGGTTAGTATGATGTACACAAAGTTGTAGTTGACTACTTTAATGTATCTTCATTGGTGTCTCTTATTACAGTGGATATATGTCATTTTGTAGTAACTTAAAGATAAAAGTGTTCATAATGTCTGAGGAAACGTTTTTGGAACTTTTTTATTTATAATTAATATTTATTCCAACAAGACAAATAATAACCAAAGTGAGTGAACTAAGCAAGCATCCTTTTGTGCCTTGTGGTTAATCTTCTTACGAAATTTACTTCTTATTGCTTGTATTAGGTGGAGATCTTGAAAGACTTGCAAGAGAGACAGAAGGTAAGAACATTTTCCCTGTTATACCCTTCTGAAGTGCTTTTCAGATAGCACTTATAAGTCAATTTCATTTTGCTAAACTAATTTGACCAAAGTTGAGTCACTGGGTGCTACCAATCTTAGTTACGCTGAGCTAGTGGTTGATGGTTTACAGCTGGTTGCACTCACCTAGTGGTTGCTGGTTTACAGCCGGTGTTGTGATGGAATTGAACCTTAATCAAAATCCTCACCAAATAATTATCATTCTGATTAAATTATTCAATTGTTACTTTTATATACAGGATATTCAGGAAGTGATCTGCAAGCATTGTGTGAAGAAGCTGCAATGATGCCTATTAGGGAACTGGGTGAAAACATTCTCACCATCAAGGCAAGTCAGGTATTATACCAACAAGAAGGCCTCAAATAAATAGGTTGTACAGCAGTCTATAAATGTTAATTAATTTTTGGTCTATGCTTTAGTAGATATAGAAGTAAATTTGCCTCAAACACATCTTTACTTTGATGATCTGATTCATTTCATGCAAGTCTTTTTGCTGAGAATATGATTCATTGGAAATATTTTTTCCTATTCTGGTTTCCTTGGAGGCTGGGAAAAAAATTATGAGAGCTTGATCTGATAAATGAAGAACTGGATCTTGGATCTGAATTCTTCATGTTTGAAACTGATTTCTTAATAGGAAAAGCTTATGGGCCATAGAAAATGTTATGCAAAATGCATCATTCTCTGCATTACATGGCACATTTACAACAAAAATAAATTGGCAGTGAAGGGAAAATGTTATGCAAAAATGCATCGTTCTCTGAATTCTTCCTATTCCGTTTCACTTAAATTGAAGTAATTTAAGTGATAAATCTTTTTTTTGATATTATTGTTTATGGAAGTACTTTATTTGCAGAAGTTTCGATAAAAGAATTTCCTCATTCCAGTCACATGTGTTCATGTCGTTATTTGTTTACCAGGTAAGACCACTAAGATATGAAGATTTTCAGAAGGCAATGACTGTAATCAGGCCAAGCTTAAGCAAAAGCAAGTGGGAAGAGCTTGAACGGTGGAACGAGGACTTCGGCTCTAATTGAATGCCTATTACAGCACTCTCTATGATTTATATGATCAAAGCAGCCTTATTTATATGCTGCCACTGGCACAAAGAATGATGCTGAAAAAAGCCAGGAGGTGGGATGTGAAAACCCAAAAGAAGGAAAAAGCATCTCTAATTGTGTACATGGCACACACCTCGCCTCAAATTGGTCTCTGCCTGCTCTTAATTCTTTGTATTCTTCTGTGTAAGGTGTGTGTGTGTATATATATATATATTATAATCATAGTTGGGTTTTCCACGCCGGAAGGCCATTGTATATGCATTGACAAAATCTTTAATGCACCAAGAAATTGTAAAATTTCCAATATTTTTAGCTCCGAGTGCCAAGGAAGAAGTTGATATTCAGATGATTATTGCAAGCGAGCGATCATATGAACTTTCAATAATGTTCAGAGTTACCAAATTCATTATAAATTGAGAGGTTTTTCTGTCTATTTTGAAAAAACTTTGGTTTTTTACAAAAGTGAAAGTTTTTTTATGGCTAAAACCTAAATTTACTTATAAAAAAATGCAGTAATAATAACAAGGAGTCACTGGAGAGCAAATCTAGTCAAATGACTAGAAATAGATGTGGGTTAGACTAGTTAGTTAAGGTATGAGAAATCAAATTAAAAAAGACGATTAGAGATAGCCGTGAGTTAGGCTAGTTAGGCAGGAAATCATATATGTGCAGTGCAGTCCTTACCCAAGTTCGAGTCTTTAATCCCTTTTTTGGGTTGTCGAAAGAATCTGTAATCTGTTGAGTATCGTACTTTTAGAGTATCATTTTGTCCCAAAATTTTAAAATAAAATAAAAAATTTATATTTTCGGGGGCTCCCTAGAAAAATTACCAGAGTCTAAGCAGTGGCGCTAAAGGGAAAATTTAAAATTTCCAGAGAGTGGTCGTCTCTCTCTCTCTCTCTCTCTGGAAAAATCAGAAGAAATGGAAACCCAGAAAGGGCAAGAAAACCGAAAGAGAGAATGGTCCTTGCGAGACTTCGAGATCGGAAAACCCCTGGGCAAAGGGAAATTCGGGCGAGTCTACGTTGCCCGAGAAGCCAAGGTATTGAATTTTTCAATCGAATTAAACCGAAAACAATTTAGAATTTGAAATGATTGATTTTTGGGTAAAAAAATTTTGGGGCAGAGCAAGTATATAGTGGCATTGAAGGTGATATTCAAGGAGCAAATCGAGAAGTATAAGATTCAACATCAGCTGAGGAGAGAGATGGAGATTCAGACTGGTCTCAGGCACCCCAACATTCTTCGCCTCTACGGTTGGTTCCACGACGACGAACGCATCTTCTTGATCCTCGAGTATGCCCATGGCGGTGAGCTTTATGGGCTTCTCAGGAAAACTAATTACCTCTCTGAGAAACAAGCCGCCACTGTAATTCTCTCTCTCTCTCTCTCTCTCTCTCTCTCTCTCTCTCTCTCTCTCTCTCTCTCTCTCTCTCTCTCTCTCTCTCTTTGTGTTTTAGAAATTAATTAAATTTCATATGATTATCAGTACATTCTGAGCTTGACGCAAGCTTTGGCGTATTGTCACGAGAAGAATGTCATTCATAGGGATATAAAGCCTGAAAATTTGCTTCTGGATCATGAGGTATATATATGCTACAACCTCTCCAATTTTTTTCCCTATGCCATGGTTGTTTGGATTCTGGGTTTAGAACAGATGGGAAATCTGGCTCTTAATCCCTTAATTTCTGCCAAATTTTTTAGCCCAAATGTTTAGAAGTCGATTAATGTTGTACATCTTCTGATCCCAAACAGTAACAATCACAGCATTTTCACTTGTTCTGTGTTGAAGGTTTTTTCCCTAATTATATAGAAAAAGTGAAAATAGGTCAGTTATTTTGGTTTCAGGATCAACCTTTTAGGTATATGGTTTTCTGTATGCAATTTTAGGAGAAGTTGCAACCAGGGTTGGTTTACCTGTATGTATGTACAAATTGGGGGGGAGTCTCATTGTTGTCATTGGTAGTTCCTTTTTGTGTTTAAGAAATAGTTTGAGCAAAACCGTGGCTGCTGGTGCTCGACTTCAAATTCCACTGCTATTGTACAATAATGATATGTGATTAATATTTTCAAGAAGATTGAGCACAAATATGAGTTCTTATCCCGATGCAACTATTCTATACTTTGATTCAATAACTGGAAGCTATGTTTTTTTATGTCTGCACTTAGGTTACGTATTATCATTGAACAAGTTGAGGAACTGTGTTTGATTACTTGATTACATAATATTTTCGTAGGGTCGACTGAAAATTGCAGACTTTGGATGGTCGGTACAGTCCAGAAGCAAGAGACAGACCATGTGTGGAACTTTAGATTATTTAGCACCAGAAATGGTGGAGAACAGACCTCATGATTACGCAGTTGACAACTGGACTCTGGGCATTCTTTGCTATGAGTTCCTCTATGGTATTCCTCCCTTTGAGGCAGAAAGTCAAACGGATACATTCAAAAGGTATGAATGAGTGTTTTGTATGCTTCCACCCATGTGATTCCGTAACATGAGCTGAACCCAAGTGAATAATAACTTGAGTTTCTATACAGGATAATAAAGGTTGACCTAAGCTTCCCTTCTGAACCTCAAACTTCTGCAGAAGCTAAACATCTCATTACCCGGGTAAGTTTGTCCATGATTTTGTTCTTAATGTTTAGGTGGGGGTAAATATAACTCCAATAGTTGTTGGTATCAGTATCCATTACCTAATTGAAATAAGTTGAACTTTGTGCAGCTTCTTGTCAAAGACTCCTCAAAGAGGCTCTCTCTTCAGAGGATCATGGAACACCCTTGGATAGTCAAGAACGCCGATCCATCGGGTATCTGCAAATAGCTAGCTTTTCTGACTGTCATCATGCTCTAACCATGGCTGTGGGGAGCTGGCACAGCTGAGTTTGGTATATGTAGGGGGAATATTTTGGTCAGAATCTCATCAGCACCAAGAGACAATTAACTTATCTACTATGTTCACCAGCCTTGAGTTTCATGTACCATGTTTTGTGTTAAGGAAATCTTGTATCTCGCCAACTTCTGGATTGCCTATAATTACATCAGTTGCTTGCTGAGTATGCTTAATTTACTTCGAAGTTCTCATTGTAGCCACTAAACAATAACCATTTTTATAAAATTTGTGATTGTATATTCTGGTTTGTATAAAATTTAGATTGCATGAGTTGTTGTATTAATAAATAAACGCTTAAGCAAGATATAGGAGCAAGCTAGCAAGTAGCCTACTAGATACATTAACTTTCTTGGAAAAGTCTGTTATATGTTTGTGGGAAAAGTCTGTTATATGTTTGTGACAATGTTAAGGGAAATTGAGAAGGGAAAAATGTTTCGTAATTAAAGAAGGCCGCTTTTCATGTTTAACGGTTTGGAAAATGGGATTTGATGTTTCAATGGCACTTGAAAAACATTTAAACACGTTTAGCTATTTTTGAAGAACAATGCTAATGTAAGTTAAGAAATATCAAGATACAACATTAATTTGGCATCCATGTTTACCTTGTACAAGATTTAAAAAGGGAGGGTTGACCTACATGCCTTCACGAGCAACTCAAACCCCAGTTGAGGTCTCCGAAAACTAACGAGAAATACAATTTCTTTCTTCTCTCTGCTGAGATGAAAAGACAGTGAAATCTTAATATTTCCCAAAACAAAAGGCATTTCTTATCCCCTACGTAAAGCAAGAACAGAGGATGTTGGCATTTCTTCACAAAACAAGCGGCCTTCCTTTTCCTTTTCTGTTGATATATTTCCATGAGGATGCTGGTTGCAGGAAAAACCACAAAATTCACAATTTTGGATACCTCAAAATGCTGGAAAGGGTAGTCTTCTAAGAAGAAACATAACTACTGTCACAAGCAGTAAGGCTGGTATCTGTAAGAGTCGTGTCACTATCGCTGCTAGAATTGCTTCTTTCATCATTTCGTCCCGGTGGGGGATTTGCTGGGATGGAGATGCTGAGATTTGTATTAGGGATTGCACAATTAGTTTTTCTGCATATGGCTGTTGTCTGAGAGAGCCGAGCAGTATTCATGGCAGCAGCTGAAGAATAAGGAACAGCAACAGGTTGGAAGTCTTTCATTTGCCTCTTTGCCCCTCTGTGGATATGCTGGCCACAATACTTCTGATGAGGAAGAACATCCCTTCTGCACCGCCACTTCTTTCCATCCGTTCTCCTACACCTCCCTGGTTCAAGTTCTACTCCACTTCCGTTGTCGAAGTATAAGCCATTGCAGCCTAGAAGAGCTGAAAACAGTAGCAACTGAAATAAATACACAAATGATCCATTTGATTGCAAAGACAAGCTACAGAAGAATTTCCAGTACTTCAACCCATTTTTATCCTTTAATTTTTTTTTATAGGACATTCTTATCCTATATGATTCCAACTTTGGGGCACTGTTGGCCTCTCTTGTTAAGGCCCCATTCGAATTCATAGGTAAGAAGTCAGATAGTTTGGTACCACAAATCAACACCATGTTCAACATTCTTTTGTGTGGAAAGCTTTTCAAGACCAGTGGTTATGCTTATCAATCCATATATATTTTGGGAGAAAAAAAAAACATTTTATAGCACAAAGGTTCAATCTTACTCATGCGTCTACCTTGGAGAACGCTCTTCGGGGAGAAGCCCAATCCTGGTGATACATTAACAACATTCATGCTGCTTCCTCTGATCATGCAATTGCCACCAGCATGGTTGCTACTATTGTATTTTACACCAATATTGAGGCTATTTTCATTGGTACTGCTGTTGGTGGCGGTGGTTGGTCCAGCAATGGTGGTAGTGGCTACAGCAGCAGGGTTGGTTCTAGCAGATCTGTTGGCGGGTATATTGGCAATGGATGTAGTTGTAACAGGTCTTACGTTCTTCTTACATTCATGATAGCCACTTGAGGCCATGGTTGTACCTTGGCTAACACTAACATAATTGTAGGATTGCGCCATAAGTTGAAGGCCTTTCGGGGTTGAAATCTGAAGGTTTGTCTTTGAGTTCCCTAACTCACCTTCTGAATTCTTGGGTGTTTTAGTGCTGGAAGGAGAAGCAACTTCAGAATTTTCCACAGGCTTTCTTGAACGCTGGCGGCCTCTGTGCATGTGTTGCTGACAGTATTTCTGATCAGGAACTACATTCTTATTGCACCTCCATTTCTTTCCATCAGTTCTTCTGCACCTTCCTGGTTCATGATCCCTATAGTCAAAGCCCGTTGCACTGAACCCTACAACTGAAACAATCAGTTGAAATAAACAGTATCAAATTCCACTGAATATGCAGGGGACCCATTTCAAATATCATGCAAAAGAAAAGAAATCAACAAAGAAATATCCTTCAAAAAGTCAAGTTATCTAACCATAAGTCCACAGAAACAATCATTTAGAGAACATTAATCTATTACATTCAAGTTCAAATTCATGAAACTATCTCAATGAACAAAACTCTAAATTCAGGGGATGAAGCGATGAAAAAAACACTCATTTACTCAAAGCATATCTCAAACTTGAAGCCTAATACACAGACAGAAACATCTGTAAGGGGAAAAACATAACATGTTGCAGTAAAATTAACAGAAACAAACATGATGTCTTCACTAACTCAATCCCATGAAAATCTCAGGCCAAGTAAACCTTGACCTATCTAAATTTGAAGCAAAATAGGACCCCTTTTAAGAACCCAATCAAACAAAGTCAAATCCATGTAGTCCTCATAAACCCAAGTCAAGTTAAAATGTCTTAAAAGTCTCTCCCTCCCCCCTTTTCTTATAACTACCCCATGAGCATGCATTTAGTTGTTACCCAAAAATAACAATTTTTTTGTGTTGCTTGTGTGTCAGTTTGTGTAAAAATT